CCCCCCCCCCCCCGTTCTGCACGGATATGCGCTTTGGATCGCGTTTCGTAACCACCGTCTTGCCCCGGTATACGCGCGTCGCCTAGCCTTGAGCTTCGAATCGACTCGAATTTAGCGCCGCGGCTCTGTCGGTTCTCCGCGCGGCCGACAGATGGCGAAACCGTGCAGTGTCGTGGTCGCGTGCCTGCGCGATGACAGCAAGCGTCGTCGACGGTGGCTCCGTGGCGTTGCTCGAGGTTCATTCGTCGATCGTTGTTCTCACGGTGGTGCAAAGGTTTACGAAAATATCACGGATTCGAGCGAATCGGGACGATATGGAACCTCCGGACGTTTATCACAGCAAAACCGAGTACGTCGAAACGGTAGGTAAAACTGGTAACGAGGAAAAGATATACTGGATAACGGCGATAGCGGTAAAGACCTAACCTCTCGTTTACGATTTTGACGTTTCAGGCATCCGGGAACAAGGTAAGCAGAAATACCATTCTCTGCGGCTCGCAGAACATTGTGTTACACGGAAAGGTGATCGTGCAGTCGGATGCCATTATCAGAGGCGATTTGGCGAACGTTAGGACAGGACGTTATTGCATTATCAGCAAGAACGCTATCATAAGACCACCGTTCAAAAAATTCAGCAGAGGGTTGGTAATTAGCGATTAACGAACTTCTTTTTTTTTTTTTTTTTTGCAAAATCTGCGAGAAAAAGCCGACTCGCTTTGCCAATCATACACGCACGTTTGACCGTTTCGTTTCTTCAGCGTTGCCTTCTTTCCTCTGACGATGGGGGACCACGTATTCGTAGGAGAACGAGCAGTGGTTAACGCAGCTATCGTCAGTTCTTACATATACATAGGGAAAAATGCAGTAATCGTACGTATACGCGTGCATGCGAAAAGAAAAAGAGAAAACATGCACGATTGATCTGTATTTACGCGTATTTGCACGGACTATGCATGTACGTATATACATACACGCTATTGGTTGGTACAGAGTGGTAAGAATTGTGCTTGTGTTGGACTATACAGGGAAGGAGGTGCGTGCTGAAAGACTGTTGTTACATCGAGGATGGAGCGGTGGTTCCGCCCGAGACCATAGTTCCCTCGTTTACACGTTTCGCCGGAAACCCTGCCAAGTGCGTCGAAGATTTGCCCGAGTGCACGCTCGACCTGATGCTAGAATTTACCAAGAATTATTATCAACACTTTTTCCTGTACCGATCTTAACGCGTTTACGCCTATGATTACTACTATGATAGGAGAGAAAGAAAAGAAGGAAAAGAATTGTAGAGAAAAGAACGATCGTTTGTCTACGTCTTCTACGTCTCGTACGTTTCCATCCAACTGGACGATTTTCCTCGATTCTCGTCTACCCTTGAAACACGATCTCCTTCCGCGAAGAAACCGAGTGGATCAGCCTGCTTCGAAACGACGGCACGTTGGAGGCGAACGTTAGGACAGCTCGGTCGATCGATTCCGCGTTTCTGTGCCAGACGAGCTCCGCCGTAAGCACGACGAGACTCAGCAAGGTCCCGTAGCACATGGCGACTATCGCGAAGTAGCACTCGGTGAATCCTATCCTCACGAAGCTCGTCTGTCCGTTACACTTGGGCTTTTTCACGTACAGTCGGTTGTCGTCGCGATATTTCAGACCAGTCTCGCGCAACAAAAGGGCCCTGCAAACCACTCTCTGTCGAATCCTGTATCGCTGCTACCCCTCGATCCTACGTACGTGTTCTTGATGATCTCGAAATACGGCGATCGAGCTTGGATCACCATCAGAGGATATCGCATGTTCAGTATATCCATCTCCATGATACCGCACTTCTCCTCCTCCAGAAACGTTTTCTGCATTATCTCGTATATGCTGCCCACCTCCCCGTGAAACGCGAACAATTCAGTCTTGAGGCGTCGAACCCCATCCTCCATCATCATCCACGTCCACGAGTCGTTGTGACCTTTCGGCTCGATCTTCTGATCCACTATAGCTTTCCGTATCGGATCTCGAAAGTTCTGCGTATAAAGCGTCGCGCCATTTCTCTAGACACCGCGCGTTCCGATTCCGCCTGTTCGTACCTTGAAATAATGCCTGCTGTAGACGGTGTCCTGGACTCCCAGCTTGAACGGGCTGTGCAACAGATCGGCCGGAGTCTGGATGGAATCGGTGGTCGATTGGAGCAGAGCGACGATGTTGGCCGTGTAAGAAGCGTAGAGATTAAGGATGACTATCAAGAGCATCAAGGTAACGATCCGCGGAGGAACCCGATACGGTTCGTAGGAGTAGCCTGTAAATCTCACGGATAAAGCTCGGAGAAAGGGTGAGAGAAAGGGTGAGAGAAAGGGTGAGAGAAAGGGAGGAACGCGTTACCCTGTTGCGCGATAGCGCCGAGCACGACCATGAAATTATCGCTGAGCGTCTGTTCGGCCGGATGAAATTGCTGCCAATACACGTTGGTGCTCGCGGATGCGCCTCTGCGGAATTCCCACTTGGCGGAAAAGTAGAGCATGCCGAGTACCAGCAGGAGAAAAACGCCGATCGCTATCCAGACGGATCGTTGGAAAGGTAACGCGAAGATGTTGCTCACGGTTGACAGCGGAGGCTTACGGAAGACGAATGCAACGCTGCAATCCGACGTGTATGCGTGTTTTTCCAATTCAACCACGCGATTAAGCGACTTACTAGCTGTACGTGTAAAGCTGCACGTAATCCACTACGCCGATACGCTCCTGAGTGAAAAAGCAAGTGCTCCCGATGTCGGCCTCTCCACGATCCAACATGCCGATCATGCCGCTCCACGTGCCATTCTTGTTCCGGTATCCCCAGCTATCGGTCGGGATAAAGCTGATGCTAAACGGCGAGAGAGCAGGAGACGATGAAAGGATCCCTCCCTCTCTCTCTCTCTCTCTCTCTCTCTCTCTCTCTCTCTGAAGCAACGAAAACGTGGTCGTCGCGACGCGAGACGCGGCGTGTTTCGAAGACGGAGAGGCAGCACTCGATGGTACAGAGGAGAGAGAGAGGAAAGGGAGAGAGAAAAGAGAGACAAAATACTCACGTTGCGTTCATACGGTTGGCTATGTGCAGTGCCCAAGGATAACTGACCTTCGAAACTGAATCTATATGCTTATTTTCGTAATCGGTTAAATGGTTGATCGTATCGGGATCGGTGATCTACGGGAAGGAAAACGCGAGGCTGATTTATTAGGCGACGATCGTCTACGCTGGTGAATTTTCCATTCCGTTGGCGTACGAGCGTTCGATACGCGCGCGCATCTCGCCTCGCTTGTTCAAGCGATGGATGGAAAACGCAGCGGCGAACCACCGGTTATCCGATTTCGGTATCTTATCGAGGCGGTCGCGACTTTCGCGTCGCGAATTACCGGGGTTTATCGAGAGATCGGGAGAAATCGATCGATCGGTAATTACGCGATTAGAGAGTAAATCGATCCGCGATCGATCGGCTCGTGCGCTGACAGCTCGTTACGACCAGACGATACGAGAAAATACCACGATCGAGGATTTTATGGGAGTTAGTCGAAGATTGCGCCGTCGTCGCGACGCCGCGTGCAAATTCGGTATTCGAACCCCGAGATCGGCCGTCCAGTTTCCACGATCCTCCTCTATCACCTCCGCGAGCCAGCTAGGCCTGTACAGAGACGTTATCTTGGCGAAGCCGTCCGTGCCGAGTCCGCTCCTCCTCACCAGGATTACCTCGCTATCCGGATAGATGGCCAAGTCTTTGAACGTTTCCTCGACGTCGGTGGTCGACGAGTAGCCGTCCTCGGCTGGATTTCGAAACAGAAGCCACCTGATCGGTGCCGCGAACATGCCGGACGCGTTCGCCTGCGAACCACGCGCGATCGAATTCGTTGCTATGCCCATTGTATAACGACGAGCTCGTGACGACGACGCACCGTTCGTAAAAGCGGAATCGCGTAATCGCAATCCAGATCCAACACGTACAATACCCGATGCTCCCAGGTGTCGTGTGTCCGTCCTTGGAATTGCTCGAGTCGGTGGTGAATCTCGTGAGCCAGACCTTTCCTCGACATCGCGGTGGAAAGTCGGACCGCGTGCTCTGTAAATCGAAAACGTCGCGATTCGAACGATTTCTCAGGTATAACGATCGCGCTTACCCCGATCCAAGCGACAGAGATGCACCGATAGCCTGACCGGTGGAAAGAGCATGCCGATCGCGTGCTCGAGCAACTCGACCACCGACGTATCCAACGCCGACGCTGTTGGCGTATCCGCGAGAATCGTGGCCAAGAGAAGAGCGAGGACACCGCGAAGAAGAAGCATGTCGTTGTCGTTGTCGTCGTCGTCGTCGTCGTCGTCGTCGTCGTCGAAGGAGGAGGAAGAAGAAGAAACTGCGCGCTATTTCGGCGTCGCGACATCGGACTGCCTTCGCGTGGATGGCGGATGCTTGAAATATTGATAGGCAAGATTGACGGAGGTTTCGAAGGCGGTATCCGAGATTCGTCGGTTGAGAAAATAACACGTTGGAATAGGGGCGTTATCGATTGCCTATTATCCGATGATACACCGCGATTGCGGCACGCAGGATAATTCGCGGACGAGCAATAAGATTACGCGTAAACCGAGTAGAGCGTAGCAGCTCGTCTATCGGATCGATAAACCGGACAGGTAGAGGCGCGGAGTATCGATAAGACCGTGGATGATTTAGGAGCTCTAGTCGGAACGACACGATTATCGTTGAGAAATATTCGTCTGGGGACGAAGAGATTGGAGAGAAAGAGGCGAAAGAGTGGCGGCGTTGGAGAAAAGGCTATTACCTGGTAATAAGGAGACGCGGAGAGAGATTCCAGCGAGGGGAAACCCGACCTTGCCTGGTTTGCTCGCATCGGTGTATCGCGTGACGAGTTAGTGATCGACACGTGCGTCGAGCCCACCGACTCGGTCGTATCAGCGACCGTTGGTTCGTCGGTCCGCGGAGGCGGGTTGCACGCGGCAAACCGAATGCGCCAGAGTGTGCCGAGAGGATGAGCTACGCGTGTTCGGGATTACGTCGAATTCGCGCGAAGAAAGCTCGCGCTCGCGCTCGCGTCATCGCGGTCCCCTTGCCTCCGTTTCCATCTACGTCTCTTTTTCTCACCTCCCGCCACCTGTATCGCTAAACCGACCAACGGTATTTATTCGTTGATCCCTCGTCTCTCTCTTCCCCCCCCCTCTCTCTCTCTCTCTCTCTCTATGTATCTCTTTGCTCGTTTCGTCGAATCGAGAGACAACGACGAAACGTCGTCGCGCGACCCGTGGACGAGGTCGAGGCGAACTAGCGACTCCGAACACAGCGAGAATCGTTGATTTCCATCAACGTCGAGGTCTCGTTAAGCGAGACTTCGTGCTCGGAATAAATCCTAGGATCGCGCTCGATGACGCATAAACGAACACCCGATTCGTCATCCGTGTCGAGTTCACCGTATCGACTGGTCTCGGGTCTGCAAAGGAATATCGGGATCGTCGTGGTGGTCGCGGTTGCCTCCATCACCGCACGACGAGGCAACAAACGAAAGAGAAGAAGAGGAAGACGAAGGCAGCGAGCTTTTGGTCCTTTGGTCTACTACTGGTCTACCGCTGGTCTACCACCGGTCTACCACTGGTCTACCACTAAGCACCGGCGAGCGGCAAAGGTACGGTAAAGGCGAGCAGAGGGAGCGATAGGTGAGTACACCGGCTGGGGGCCCGGGGGGCCGAGGACAGAGACCGCGGGCGAGGCGCGAAGAAGGCGGGGATCGGCGTAGGTTAAGAGCGGAGGATAGTTAGAGGAAAAAAAGACAAAAACTCGAAAGCTCGTGACAGCGGCGAAATTCTTCGATTTCCCGTGACGAACCGATTCGGGAGAAGCGATATCGGTGCGCGGGGGAGGTGGTTGTGAAACGGTGGGGTTCGAACCGCGTGTTCTAATTGGTCGCCGTCCACTAGGTGTTTGCGGCTAAGTGTCGCGAGTTCGGCACGGTTCCCAACAGTAGCAGCAGCGAGACCGGCGCGTCAGGCTTCGCGACCGCTCCGCTTCCCTTCGCTCCGTCGACAGCCACACCGACAGAGAAACGGAGAGAAGGAGAGACAGGGAGGAGAGACATCGTCTCTTGCATCGACATAGCGCGGAACAAGATCGAGCTATCGAGGACGACGTCGAACGGAGCATATCTCTCTCTAGTTTACCGCGGACACCTTCTTCTCCGCCATAAACCATGTCGACGAACGGCATCCCCGTAGACCGCAAGTCCGAGTCGAAGAGGCCCGCCGAGGTGTTCGAGAACCAAGTCCCTCCACCAACCGGTGAGTCTCTTCGTTTTCTTGCCCTCGTCTTTGCCTTCGCCTTCGCCTTCGCCGTCGCCGTCGCCGTCGCCGTCGCCGTCGCCGTCGCCGTCGCACCTAATTCTCTCCGTTCCACGGTTTCGCGGTATCGCGATCGAGAAACTCGAGACACGGACGATCGCGTTCGCTTTACGTAACGAGAAACGCCGTATTTGCATAACCATTGCCGCTCTCCATTATCTAGATTTAAAAATCCAGTCAACGAATCGAACAAGCAAGGTCACCGTACACCGTCCTCCCGACAGTCGACGCTCGGGTGAACGGTTACGTCGCCGCGTACCCTCCTCGCGAGTCCTTTCGCGTTCGCGAGCCTCTTTCGTCCTCGTCTCTCGTCGTCGTCCGTCGTCGTCCGCCGTCGTCTGCCATTATCCGACAGCCGCGTTTTTTCAACTGTCGCGAACGTCGAGAACACGGGGTAGAGGACAAATTCCAGAGATAATGTAACCGCGCGAGAGTCCTCGAATCCACACCCGACCGTTATCTCGCGCGATCACCTTCGTTCGTTCAGACTCGCGGTGAAATCTACGATGCTAATATGCGTCGCGTCGCACAGTCTCGCGACCACCCAACCACGGTGTCTCTCCAAGTAAATTCCGAGTTTCGCCCGTTTTCCTCGCCGCGTTTCGCATCCGATTGAAACGCGCACGCATGCGGACCGTCGTTGCGACGACCCCTTCGACCCCCCCCCCCCCCCCCCAGATCAGGATCCATCGAATAAATCGTTCGATTTCGACTTTCCAACGCATCCTCGTCCAGCCTATCTCGTCTCGTCGAAAGCCGTGTCGTTCGCACGCGCGCGGCCTACTTATCCTCCCTCTGGTCCCGATCGTTCTTCCTCTCGCGACCCTTTTACCTTCTCCGACACTCCAGACATCCAACTTTTCGTTTCGTTTCGTTTCGTTTCGTTTCGCTTCGCTTCGCTGCTTCTTTCGCTGCTTCTTTCGCAAATCGCGTAGCCGAACTTTGGAAAAAATTTCGCGATAAACGAACCGCGGCCACTTATTTACCGAGAATCCGGTAAGCCATAAAGTTCCGCGATGATCGAGACGCGTTAGATAGGCAGCAATTTCCCATCTATCTTATCGACGATTTTCCTCTTGCTCTACTCGTGCTCACGCACGTGCAACGCTCCACACGACTCTTTCGCCATAGACGGATTTCATCGATAGTCACGACGTAAAGAGAGAGACCAGAGGAGATAACGATATCTAGCCGAAAACTCTTTTCCTCCTGGAGCATGATCGCGCGCGGTGGCTGCTGTTGGCGCTGCTACTCGGCCGCGCCAGTCATCGCGTCCGATCTTTATCCTCGCGAAGACGCTGTCGAACGTTCCAACCGCTCGAGATAAGAAAAACCGGAATGAAGGTGCACCGCGTCCGGTAACTCGTACGATTAACCGTCTGAAAAAATATGGCCGTGACGCGCGTGTAGGTGCTCCATAAATATGCATCGAAACGATTCATTTTTCTTTTTTTTTTTTTCTTTCCTTCCCACTCGGCCAATCGACCTTGTTTCCGATCGATCTCGCTCCGCGTCCAACCTCGCGTTCCCATTTTCACCCTTCTATCGCGACCTTGGAGGGTTATCCACGTTCATCGTCGAAGATTGGCAACCGATTCGCAACCGATGAACGCGAGCGAGGAGATGGATCGCAAAAGAGATTGGACGAGGACGAAAGCAGGAAGCGGGACAATTTCTTTCTCGATTCCGACAAAAGTGGTGCGAGAATCTAGAGAGTAGTAGGCGGAACGGGCAGTCGTTTCGACACGGTCGCTCCCACGTCGAGTTCTCTTGAATAATACATTACGCGACACGTACGCGCTCTCCTCTGTAATCGTCGTGTTTTCTCGCAGCGAGCGAACAAAGCACGCGCAGCCAATGATAAACAGGCAACCAGGCGGAAACAATTGATCGGTAGAGCGCGAATCGCCGCGGAATTCCAACGACTCGCGTGGTCCGATCGATCCTACGTGGCGCGCGTACCGCCAACCGAACGCGATCCTGCCTTTTCCTCTTATCAACCATACCGGTCCCGGTCGCCGCCACTTTTCCACCGTCCTCCGTTATAAACGCGAATCCTCACGCGGAATCGCCGCGGAACCGCCGCGGAACCGCCGCGGAATGGTGGCGAAATGGTGGTGCGCTCGCGGTGTAGTACACCGTCTATCGCACGGTTACGCCTTGCGGCCTATCCATTCTCTCGAGCGTGACACCGCCGTCACGTCTAAAACACGAAAGTAGAAACTTTCGAACCGGCAAACGGCCGTTACCAGTGTGTCCCCTCAAGCGTTCCCGCTCCGTCTCGCGTTCCGTGATCATCGTGCCGTGACCACGAACCTCGCTCCGAGTTTCCATCTCCACCCAATTTATAAATACCCAATTTCAAACCCCAATTTGTATTTTCCATTCAAATTCCGAACCGCCCGATACGTCGCGATCCATCGCGATTCAGCGCGTACACGCGCGAAACTGGTGGACGCGGTTCTCGGAAAACACGCGAAAACCGTGTACACCTTGACACGAATCGTTGGAAAGTTCAAAGAAAGGAAAGGAAGGTTCGCCGGCGCTCGCCGCTTCCAAGACGTCAGCGCCGACCATTTTCGCACTGCGAACGCGCGTTACTTTCAATTTCGAGTTCCGCCGAAAGCTTCCGGCGCGGTTATGCTCGCGCGTTTGCTCCTTCTTTCGTTACTCGCCCGAGGCGGACGTTATTTTCCACTTTACCAAGTGAATAATGGCGTTTAGAGAAACGTTTCCTGTTGACACATACACACACACACGCGCGCACGCACCCGTGCGCGTACACGCGATACCGAGTCGAGGTGACCGGTTCGTGTCGTGCTTGATTCTCGTGCATCGAGGTCGCACGTAAGGAAAGAACGTCTCGCCGAGTTCGCCTAAATAAAACTTAGTAGCGTCCGCATGGCCATCGATCTAAGCGCCAAACACCGCGCGACTGTCGAACGAGCATTTGGTAAAATTCACGAGTCGTGAAGCGAACCGTATCGTCGGTAAACACGCGTCGCTGCAATTTTCCGTTCGTACGCCGAGACGACTTACCGACCGAGAGTGCGCGCGATCGATGATCGATCGCCGATCGGTTGGTCCCGCTATGACCAGTGGTCGGTAACGAAGACGAGTCCGTTCGATCTCGCGTTCCAGCGATTCATCCGCGCGACGTTGCATCCATGTTACGTAACCTCGCGACGTTTACGGTCGATTACTCGAAACGTCTCGTGGACATCGGAAATGTCGGAAAACACGGTTCGTGCCACACTCCGAGTAGTCCTCTTCTATTCTTCCCGTTGCGGACGATTATGTTGGTATAATCGGTCGTTTCCGCGCACGAACCACGCGATACGGAAATTGTCCCGGTTCGCACGTATCTCGTTGTGCACACGTGCACGTTACAACGATTTTTGGCACGCGATATCCGCCATTCTATCAATAGCGAGGCGCCTATCTTTATATTCGTACGCAATTTTGGCGGCGCGGTTAATACGAACTTTTAAACGTTCCAGATATTCTCGAATATCCTCGTGTTACGAATTTCCGCCATCGATCCGCGAACGTACGAACGGATGACGCCAAGGACGGATGAACGAACCAACCATGACCGATACAGTCAAATCCGCGTGACGCGATAATTCTCTGCTGAGTTCACCATGAGATGCGAAATTTTGAAAATGAATTCTCGATATTACGCTGCGTGAAACTTCTTCTTCAAATAGAATACCAGAGCAATCCCGTTAATCGGTGAGCCAATGTTTCGTTAAATAAACGCGATTATATCTTCGCGATGTGACTCATCGTGATTCAAAGGAAATTCAGCCGCGCGATAACAAACGACGAAAGAACGAATGCAATCGGAAAGAGAAGAAACGATTGTATTTCATCGGCTTGTGTGCGCGCGCATATGTGAGAAACCTCCACGGTCGTAATACGACGCATGACGTGACCGCGATTACGCCATTTTAAAACAACGTTGCGAATCAGAAGATAAGAAATTCCATAGGTTACGCGAGGAGAATAGCGATATCTCGCTGATCGCCAAGATAAGCAACCGCGGATCTTTCGGTAGGCAGCCATGTCCGACTACGAGATAATTTTGCCTACAATTTTTCCGTTACGTAATTTTCATGGATATTTCTGAACGAGAATAAGCAACTCGGCCAACTACGAAAACTCGCGGAAGAGCATAGCGACCAGTCGAATCGCGGAATACGATAAAATACGAGCGGAAAGCGGGGTGAAAAGGTGAAAATTCAACTTATGAATTCTGCGCGTAATTCGTCCAAACGAATCGATCCGTTCAACCTTTCGGCACTCGTCCAAAGCCATTCGAAATGTAGCGCGAACGAGCACGTATGTTCGCGCGCGACTCTTCCATTCGCGGAATCGGACTACGAACGCTAGATGGCGCCGGCGTGACCAACGAGAGGAAGCCATTGGCGAGACTCGCTTCGCCATTGGTCGAAGGGTCTCGGTCGCTCGGACGATTCGTTTCGTTCAACCGCTCCCCGCAGCTGCCCGTAGTTCCCTACGGTTCATGTCTTTACACCGCCGAACTAACGCGGGAGAGAAAGAGAGGAAAAGGCAGGTGCGTACTCGCTTCCGATCACGGGATCGTTGTTAATCATCGTTATCGGTGTACCACGAAACCGTCAACCGATTCACAACGACGAAAGGCCGATATTATTGGCGCACAGTGAGTGGTCGGTCGCGTCCAAAGACGCATCACGCGAGAATCATTGTCGTCATCGTTATCGTCCCTGTCGTCGCCGTCGTCGTCGTCGTCGTCGTCGTCTCGTCACCATCACCATCGTAATCGCCGTTTTCTTCGTAGTCGCTGTCGTGGTACACGAGTCAAAAGTATATGGTGTTTGCCAAACGTCCGCCTGCAACGATGTTGATTTTCCTTGGCTGCCAGTGAGAATATCGCGAGCCATCGTGTTTTCGTGTTGGAAGCGGCACGCAAGTACACGCGGTGCACTTCTCTTGCTTCGCGACAACGTTTCTCGTGCACTGGGCTTGACCGTAAATCGTGAAAATCTAACGTTTAACCAAATACGATCGTTGGTGTTAACGACTGCGTTCTGCCTGTAACGAATTACCGATTACTCGTGCATCGCTTCCGTGTGTGATCGCGTGCGAGTAGAACGCGTGTCGAGCGTGCGATGAACGGCAACGGCAGACCGCACGGAGAGAACAGAGGACGAAATGGCCACGTGCTTGTGTGGGAACAACCAAACCTAGAGGAAGAGGACAGTCCTGTGCGAAAACGTAAATGTACGGTAATCTCGCGTATTTTCCGACAACGAAATTCCGCGAGTGTCTTCCTCCCCCCCCCTCTCTCTCTCTCTCTCTCTCTCTCTTTCTCTCTCTCTCCCTCCCTCTCTCTTACACACACACACCACGCGCGCGCGCGCGTGCTCGTGCACGCACACGCGCGCTCACGAACACGTACACACACAAAATATGTTTTTTTCGATCGCAGCGTTTCGGAGCTGAATCTGTCGTCGATCGTACGATGGAAACTAGTTTGCCAAGCGGATGAGACTCGGTCTATCCCGTAAACCGCGCGTCGAGCCACGTGCTCCCGCCGTCACTCTTTGCTCTCTTGCTCCCTTGCTCTCTTATTTTCTTGCTCTCTTACTCCGGTATTCTCTTCCTTTCCCTTTCTTCGCACTTCCTAATATATACGCACACGTGCATGCGTGACACACGTACACGTGCCTGCTTTGAACCTCGCATTTAAAAAGGAACTTGAGACAAACGTTGCACGACTCGAGAGATTCGTCTTCCGATAATAAATGCGTTCCATGTACTCGTGTGTAATTACGCATGGGTACATAAATGCTTTTCTTGAAATATGCCTCTTGCTCTCTCGCATTTCGTTCGTTCTTTTTTCTTTTTCCCCCCCTAATCGAGGACTCGATGTTTCTTACACGATACCAATTGTAACTTTAGGTTCGGTCAGGAATTTAACCGTATTTATCGCTAGCGTCGAATATCAACGAACAGAACGCATAGAATATTGTGGAGGGAAAGACACGCGTATCGCGTGACATCGAGAATAGAGACAACGGTGTTCGATGGTCGATGGCAGAATCGATTCCTCGAGACGAGAACCTATTCGCAATGAGGGGGAATCGCGTAAACGAGAACCGCGAACGACCGCGGCGATCGTGTCACGTGCGCTAACCGACCGCGCCTCTTTCTCCGCGCCATTGCTCTCTCTTCCCATTCGCTCGTTTGCTGTTGCTTCACGAGCATACACGACAGCAATAGCGTCAACTCGACGCGACGGTGCATGACGCGCCCAAGTTATTTCCACCCAGCGTTATTGGCCACGTGCTCAATGGATGCTCGATAGCTGTTTCACGACTGTTGGTCCGATGCATTCGCTGTGCGAAAAACAAGCCGAGAATCGACGTGTCGTTACGGAATCGCCGAAAAACACGAAGCGAGTCGATTAGCTCGTTCGATTATCGCGCGGCTAGCTAGAATTCGCGCGCGCGCGCGCGCGCTCACGATTGAAGAGATTCGTCGTGTTGCCCTCGGTGCCAATCAATCGTCGCGCACGACGAATGGGCTGAGAATTGCTAGCGGGCCAGGGTGCGGAGGCGGAGGCTGGCAAACGGGTCGGAGGACGTTCAAAGTTCAGATGTTCGTTCGCCGAAAATGTTACATACGCGTGTGTGTTACATATCGCTACGATGCGTCACGACAATACACAGCTCGAAGAAATTGACGTAAAGTTAGCGGCGAGAGGGGTGGTGAATCGCGATCGTGGTCCGAGGACGGAATTCGTTTCCCGGTCGTGTTTGATTTCGTATCGAGCAAAAGTTCTATCGAGAGCTTTGTTCATTGCGTTCGAATCGTCGCGATAATCGGTGCACTCCGAAAATAAAGCTTACATCGATTCTATTATTGTATCGCGTTATTATCTCGACATCTCGTCACAAGCAATAACGCGTTATAAATAACCGACGCGCAACCAGTTTTAACGAACGAAACATACACGCGGAATTATGCTTTGCCAAACCGGAGAAAGGGCCTGCGCGCTTTCCGTCAACGGCGCGTGCGCACCGATTCTCCCCTCGACCTTGCCCCTTCGCGCGTTCCTAGCTACCGCGTCCTTCGTGTCTGCCAGTATATATACTTCTATGACCGCGAGAACGCGGATGCGATACCGCTTCTTCCTTTCTTACTTTCTTTCTTACTTAACCCTCTCTCCCTTCCTCTCTATTTCTCTCTGGTAATGCCGAATATCTATCGCGAGCGTTTCCGGTATTACCATTATCTTATCAATGGTAAATCGTAAAACATAAAACGTAAATTAGCATCGCTTTTCATGCGATTACGCAAGTGCCGACCATTTGGCGCCAATCGATCGACGTAGGTATGTTGGAAGAATTCTCACCGATGAGAACCATTTCGAACCGGAGTGAACCGATTCTACCCGTAATCGGCGGTAGCGAGCGTGTTCGACGGTGTTATCGACGAGTTAACCCGTCGTTGCGATTAGCATCGCGTTCGTCTCTCCGCTCGTGTAACGAAGAAACGTTTGCTGTTGCAGCATGGTTAGGCACGCGTCACGTAGTGACTCTGATGCTGTTCCTCGGCATGGCGAACGCCTACGTGATGAGGACGAACATGTCCGTTGCGATCGTCGCTATGGTCAATCACACTGCCATCACCGAAGACAAGGAAATCGTGGCCAACGAGTGCGGACATACCGTTTCCTCGTCGACCACCGTGAGTAGCAGAGTAGATTGTCACTGTGTTAACTTATGACCGACGGCGGTAATGTCCGTGGTATGTAACGTAATGTGTACGTATGGCAGAGTCATCCAAACAGCGATGGACAGTTCGTATGGGACACCACCAAACAAGGCTATCTGCTTAGCTCGTTCTTTTACGGCTATGTCATCACGCAAATACCGTTCGGAATACTCGCAAAGCGGTACGGATCGAAATACTTCCTCGGCGTCGGTATGCTGATCAATTCGGTGTTTGGGCTGTTGGTACCTGTGTCCGCGCGCGCCGACTACTATTGGCTCATGGTCGTCCGATTCATTCAAGGTCTGGGCGAGGTAAGCAATCTCATCGCGTCCTTTCAACCTCGTCTTCTTCCCCTATATATATATATATATACACACGCACACACACGCACAAACACGCGTGCACATTTAACCATTCCCCTCTTCGACTCGATCGATCAATTAAAAGGATAGAAAAGTCTTTAATATTTTTCTCGTTGAACGCTTTTTGATCGTTCGGGTGTATTTCCTGCCCCTAGGAATGGATTATCCCTATTGCAGGGTCCAATTGTGCCTTGCACGCACGCGATGCTGGCCAAGTGGATACCACCGAATGAGCGCAGCAGGATGGGAGCCTTCGTATACGCCGGTAAGCCCGTTCGTTTCAACGATATTTTTTTCCTGTCTACGTAGCCCTGTCGTGTCCATCGCAGCGGTATGCTACCTCTGGGATCTACCGGGCAGTTTCTCCTTCTTATTCTACTTCTTTCTCTTCTACTTTCTTCTCTCGTTTCTCTCGTCTCCGTTCTAGCTCTTTCGATCTGTGCTAATCGATCGGTTTTTCGTTTCCCGTATTGTGACTATAGGTGCGCAGTTTGGCACTGTGATTTCGATGCCATTGAGCGGAGTCCTGTCCGAGTATGGTTTCGATGGCGGTTGGCCCTCCATATTTTACGTGTTCGGCGCAGTCGGAACCATATGGTGCATCGCTTTTCTTCTCATGGTCTATGAGGATCCAGAAAGCCATCCCCGTATAGCCGAAGAGGAAAAGAAATACATTCTGAGTGCTCTGTGGGGTAATGCTGGAGCCTCCGTGAGTACGCGATTCTCGTTTCTCTCGTATTACACGAACCATACATCGCTAACCTTTCCCTCTTTGTCTTTCTCTCTGACTGCAGTCGCCACCTGTACCATGGATCTCTATCATCACGTCGCTGCCCTTCTGGGCTATCCTGATCGCGCACATGGGTCAAAACTATGGATACGAAACGTTGATGACCGAACTGCCGACATTTATGAAACAGATTTTACAGTTCGACCTTAAATCGGTAATAAGAAAAGCAAAAGATGGAATTGCCTCGTAGAAATCGAGGGAATGCGAATGCAAATCCACCAAGGGACTATCCACACGCGATTATTATACGCGTCTGTATCCACGCGTATGTGCGCGTATGTTTCAGAACGGTACCGTTTCCGCGCTTCCCTACTTGGCCATGTGGATATTCTCGATGGTAATCTCTCACGTGGCCGACTGGATGATTTCCAATGGATCGTTCAATCACACGATCACGCGTAAAATCATCAATAGCGTCGGTCAGATCGGACCAGCGATCGCTCTTGTGGCCGCTTCCTACACCGGATGCAATTCTTGGTTGACAGTGGCCATACTGACGGTAGGAGTTGGTTTAAACGGTGGCATCTATTCCGGATTCAAGGTGAATCATTTAGACATTTCACCGAGATTCGCTGGTGTCTTGATGTCCTTTACCAACTGCTTGGCCAACTTGGCCGGTTTACTGGCGCCCATCACAGCCGGACATATAATCGTCGGACAGGTAATTTTTGCTAATTATCTTTTACGTCTGTAATCGAGTTGAACCGACGTCGAATAAAACTCCGCCCTTTTCTCTTGCAGCCGACCCATGCAAAATGGAGGCTTGTGTTCATGATCTCGGCGGGTGTCTATATCGTATGCGCCATTTTCTACGTAATATTCGGCTCCGGACAACGGCAGCCGTGGGATAATCCGGACAAGGATGAAGATAAGCAGCATGAGAAGCAAGGCTTGGAGAGCGTTAAAACTGTCGCGGAAACGCAACATTGACGAGCCTCAGCGTATTAGTTGCTTTTCATGTCGACCGTTCTTTGTTCCTGTCACTTAGCTGTTCTACGCGACGGTGCACAAAACCGTTTTCGGTCGCTCAGTTACATTCTCCGTTCCTCCTCTCTCCCCCCCCCCCCCCCCCCCCCCTCTCTGCCATCGATTCCCCTTCGTCCTTTGTTATTTCCAACGTTTGTCGTCGAACCTTTAACGATGTCGTTGGAGAGTGTGCGTCAAGACGGGTGGAAAAATCTTCACACCGCGATTGTATACGCGGGGAATTTCGACGTTAAACAAAAATCCAGATGCGACAAAAAAGAAGAATGCAACGAAAATGCGTATCTTCGAAGGAAGAAGCACGTTCGTACAAAAGGACATCATCCGTGATTTATCGAAGCCGCAGTGAATCGTTTGGCCGACGAATAATTTCTTCTTCCAGCGCGCGAGGAGCCTTACACTCTCTGTTTGTTCTTCGTTCGTTGTGCCAAGTTAAATCGCACGCAAATGTTTGTATAACAAGTAAGTCGAATTGAACGTCACGTTTCTATATCAATTACAGATAAACTAACCGACAAACGTGTGTGCTTTTGAATATGTACATACGCGTGTGCATATATAAGATACGGGGAAGGAGAGTATGGTAGACGTGTGAGAAAGTGAGCGAGCGAAAGATAAAAAGCGGATAATTTTACATTTTTATAGTATACCTTTTCGTTTAACGGATATTACGTGCCTTACGGTCGAAAGCTATCGAAATAAAGATTAAATCGAAATATTTCTTACGCGTTAATCTCCATTGCGCGCCAATAATCGCTGCGAATCACTAGCCGGTTCAAACTTTCGTCCGATTTCTCAATGCACAGATACACATGTAACACGATATTCCATGTTTTTCTCATTCGATCGAAAGTAATTCGTGGGATCGGCCTTTGTGCTTTGCTTCGTACGATTATAAAGTGCGATGCGTTTTGAACACGCGAGGTTCTCGTTGGTCACCATTTGTGCAAAGAAACGGACGCGTACGACAACAGTATTAGTGCAAATATCCTCGCGTCTTTTCCGTTTCCGTCTTCGTTTCTTGCCTTGCTTTATCGCAAGCAACTGCCATTTTGTATTGTGTACAGCTAACACCCGTCGCGGGGGACACGATGAATCAATTTCTTATTTTTGGAAATATTCGGAAATTTTCAAACTGTTACGAGCAACGTGATGCAATACAACAATGGTTTATAAATATTGTAGATATTTTTACGCATAGGTTTCTATCAAGTTGTAAACGTTGGACAACTTGTTGCTCTTACTTATTTATGCAACGTGTACAAAACGGAATGAAAGGATGCGACGAAAGAGAAAAAGACAAAAAGAGTGAATGAGTAAGGGTGAGAGAGAGAGAAAGTAGCGTCAAGTATGCTAAAAAAAAGAAATCAGTAAAAACATTCAAAAGAATTATGTCTGCATAGTGGAATGCATTTTCTTTTTTTAATTATTATTGTTATTATTATTATTATTATTACTATTATTATTATTATTGTTGGTATTATTTTATTTTTATTCTTATTATTCTTATTATTAATATTATTATTATTATTATTATTATTATTATTATTATTATTATTATTATTATTAGTAATAGTAGTAGCAATAGTAGTAGTATTAGTTGCAGCGTTAGGTGTAGTATTAGAATCATTATTCTCGTTTTCATCATAACCATCGTCATTATTGTAGTCGTCGTGATTGTTAAATTGTCCTGCGACACACGAGCGCCAAAGCAAAACATGTACGTCTTTTTTCGTTTCTCTTCCCTCTTACTCCCGTACATGCAGGCCGTTGTTACGGGTGTACGTTATCGATCGACTGTTTTGTTAATTAGCACGAGTCCGGCTCGGTCCGGCCCAGCATGTATGCACGATACTCGAACACGGTATATACTGCGTACCCTCGCGTTTGAGTAAACGTCCGACAAAATTTCTTTCCATACGCGACGTTCGATTTGGAACTCATTCGAGAATGGATACCTTCCAATGTATCCGATTTTGCCGGTTTTAATCGTTATCCCGTACCTTTTTTCGACAAATTCCCAGAGGGTATTCGATGAAATATCTCAGATCATGCAAAACACTGATCATTGCCAATTCCAAATCGACTCCAAGTACCTGCGTTTTCCTGTGATCATGTACCTAAAGTGTATCTTTGATAACTTTATTTAAAGTTACCACTAGTTTCTTGGTAACTCGTGAATTATCTTAATCGTTGTTGCAGCGAAGCACGACGAATTGCCCATCTTAAAAGTCTTGCATACGCGAGGGTATTTAAGTTATTATTACGTATTACGTGCTACATTATATCGAATTCGTTCCTACTTCGTGCTAGACTACACGTACACGGGTACATATACTGTACCATCGGCGTGTGTATCTTTGCGTGCGTGGTATGTGCCAACATGCGTGTATGCGTACACGCGTTACCGACGATCGCGAAAGAAAGCTGTCGTCCGCAAAATTTTGCGAAATAATTTTCGAGATCTGTTTATATAAAGAAAATTGTAAAATGATCGATATTTTTATATAAATATTTATGACGATTGTGGGAAAAAAAGAAATCTGACGCAATCTCTTCGAACCGTACGAAATTGTCTTTTTATCACTGAAATTAATAAAACGCATAACAGTGTATACACGGGTAAATAAAGTATCGCTCAACAAGTACGTAATTTTCGATCTTATTTTATTTGTTCTTATTTCAACTATCTCGTCATCGAATTGCTACGAATCGTGTTATAACCAAACTGCCAAAAATCTCGAATCTCTGTCGACTTATAATCGAAAATTGAAACGAAAGAAACTCATCGTGTGTCTAGTCTGAATTTTGTCAGTCGTGCAGTTTTAAAGAATTCCATCGTATCAATTGTCGGTAAGTTTTTCTCCTGTTTATTAGTTGAGCTATCGTTTAAGAGATGGCGATTCCAATAGTCGATCAGCTGTACGAGACAGGATGAACAAGTACGGTGTTTGGTATATGTTTTCGTTTAATTTACAACGGTAAGTGACACATCTCGTTGTCCTCGAAATTAAAAGTATTTCGCTATACGATCAATCTTCTTATGTACGGTGAGCATATTTGTTATTGGTTAAATCTCCTTATCATCGCACATATCGTCTCGTAATTCAGTTAGCAAAATTTATAGGTTAGGTTTGTAATCCTGTTATACGATTTACGTCTCACTAGTGTTGAGTCATACGTTTTCATTTCCATTCGATGAAAGCTAGGCGCCTGTAAAAACATGATATTTCTTTTACAGGTAAATAAGTAAGCAGCACACGATGCGGATCGAGTTGATAATCGTGCAGGTCATTCTATCCGTGGTTACGGTGAAATGCAGCAACATTACTCCCGCCGTGTTCGGAAATGTACTGGATGGTATGCCAGCTGCTTTCGGAGATTTCAATTCCGACGAATTGACCGATGTGTTCATGCTGCGCAAAAACTGCACCACTGTTGAGATCTTCCTTGCCGCCGAACAAGAACCTCTCTTGAGACCTAGCTCCAATCTAAGTTGTACTTTTCATCGTTTAGTCGTCAGTGTAGTACCAGGAGACTTTGACGGAGACGTGTTCATGGATGTTCTAGTAATCACGTATGATGAGAAAACGAAATTATCATTTGGATATATATTATGGGGTGGAAACGGCCGGTTAAACTGCACCAACGAAGAAGATCCGTTGATAATGATGAAAGGTCAGCCATTAGCTCTCGATTATAACAACGACATGATAATAGACCTGTTCGGATTGAACGAACATTCCAAGAGAACTTTTTGGGTATTCGATCAAAGCCGAAACCGACCGAAATCTATATCGATAGACACATTGCCAGAGGAAAGACCGCTGCCATCGATCAGTCAGCCTCACTCGAACGCTTATCTTGACCTAAACAATGATTTCTTGGCTGATCTGGTCGTCACCACGAACAAAAGCTTCGAAATTTGGTTGGGTGCTAAGCCAGGATTTCATTTTGACCATGAGATATGGTTTCCCTATGATATTTCATCGGACAAAAATTTCAACGGTGTGCTTGGTCAATCGCTTTACTTGGACATCGAGTTGACTGGCAAAATGGCATTACTTTTACCATTGTGTTTCGATATCGCATGCACAAACAGCACGATCATGATGCATTCGGACGCATGGTATAATTTACAAGTAAATTTCAGAGATGGAGATAATGTTTTATGGGGCTTTGTGATACCTGATGGACACCGATACACCGATACTATAACTTTGCGTGGTGGTGATTTCAATATGGACGGTTATCCAGATCTGTTAGCCACACTGAGATCGACCAGCGGCAAGCAAATACGATCCTATCTATTAGAGAACGTTGCATGCGATTCGTGCGTCGGTTATACTCGAAAATTTGAAATTAAGTGGCAAGCGTTAAATCCATTTTACAACGAGACCACAATGGCGGTGTTCTATGATTTTTATCAAGATGGCATCTTAGATGTGATCTTGGTGCAGATGGACAAAAGTATCAATAGATATTATACAGCAGCGTTCAAGAATAGTTTAGATTACGATGCAAACTTTGTCAAAGTGATGGTACTCACTGGTCGCAATAACAGCATGTATCCGATTTCTCCAGGCTCACTTGGCAAGAAAAAGAGAACTTACGGAACGAATCTTCCTGGTCCATCTATAGCTTATCGAACCACCACACAAGATGGCAGCCCGCGAAACGCAATTGCAGCTCAGCTGCCACAAAGCGCACACTTCTCCTTGAATTTACCATACACGACTTTTGGTTTGGGTAGGACGCCCAACTTTGTTGACGCTCTCACAATCGGAGTAAGTATGCGACTATTTACAAGCTTTCGTTTCGTTATACGACGTCCTCGTAATTAGCCTTGCAGCATGACACGATATTAATCGTTCGTTTGTCCGACAGGTTGGTGGCAAATGTCGGGAATGGCCGCAAATCATCCCTAATTCTCAAATGGTAATGATTCCGAATCCGATTGATGAACCATGGCGGTGGAAAGCTCAGCTGTTCGTAACTCCTAGCAAGTTAATTTTACTCAGTGCAGCAGCATTGACTGGCACTTGCGGTTTAATATCCTTCATTATTGTCGCTCTTTATTGGAAAGAGCGAAGAGAGGATAAAATCGAGAGACTTCAAGAAGCACATAGATTTCATTTTGACGCGATGTAAAGGTTCGATTAAGAATCCATTGAATATCTTTAAGAAATGTATTTAATAGCTCTATAAGTTATTTCGTAATCGATAAATAAATAGATAAATCAATAAATTAATAAATGTACAAACATCTACAAATAAATGAGCAAATGAAGACATTGAAGTACATACACGATTGGACGCGATGTATCGCCATATGCAATACACGTATGTAATTCGAAGAAACTTTGGCGATATTTTGTACAATAAGTTTCTGAAATATATCGCGCACTCCGCTAGTTTCACATAAAAAGTTGTCACCGTCGTCACTAATAAAATTGACAATTTATTGATTCCTCTTGGACATTATTATAAGACAGGACCCGTCGCTTCGTCTCGCATCAACGCATCGAATGCGAAATATATACTTACAATACTAATAATATTTTATATACTTTATATATATATATATATTTATATATATGTATATAACGATCTTTGCTGGCGTGATTTTGGTCGTAGCACTATTCGTGACATACGTTGTAGATCTAAACAATCTAAGTAACATTCACTACTGACAACGATCGTTTTTAATGGCAGGGTTTAAATCGTTGAAGTAGGGATGCGACATTGCTTCCTCTGCTGACAGTCGTAACGCTGGATTGCATACCAACAACCTCTGTAAGGGTTAAAAAAGAAAAGAAAAAAGGCTAAAGTTCACAACCAAAATTTCGATTGAACTATGATAATATGCCTCTAAATAAACATCTGAAGGTAAGAATTATCCTAAATAAATAAGCCAAACAATTAATCCTTTACCTGCAATAAGTCTCTGCCTCTGGAATTAAGTTTTGGTGTAACTTGAGCCAATCCTTGAAGAGGATGATAAAGTGGAAAAAACTTGTAGTCTGGAAGAGTTGTAAAATCTGGCCACGTCTCCTCGGTCGGTGTACCCAACATTTTGAATATTCTTTTCAATTGATCATCCACGTCTGAACCGGGGAACAATGGTGCACCAGCGTTTGCTAATTCTACACGAATGAAAGAGACATTGATATATCGGTATCACTTCTTTTATTTTTAAGGCTACATACCAGCAAATATACAGCCGGCACTCCACATATCGATAGACGTCGTGTATAATTTTGCTCCGAAAAGAACATCCGGTGGACGGTACCACAACGTTACAACTTCTGCGGAATAACATTTTACAGGGATACCATAAGCTCTGGCGAGTCCAAAATCGGCTAACTTCAACTCACCATTCTAGAAAAAATTGAGCATGGAAGCTTTAGTTTTTAAGAAATAAAAAACCAAATGGAAAGCAATCCAGAAATATATGTGGTACCTTGTTGATGAGCAAGTTTTGTGGTTTGAGATCTCTGTGTAACACGTGTCTGCTATGACAAAATGCCAACCCACGTAATAACTGGTACCTGAAAATAATTATATATACAATGGTTGAATATATTTGAATCTAGATCAACGTAAAAGTAAAGATTACCACGATGCTTACAGAAAGGATTTGACAACATCTAAATCAATTTCTCCGTTTAGGCTATCAAAATACTTCTTCAGATCTTGATCGCAATGTTCAAAAACCAAAGTCAATTTTTTATCACTATGTAACACATCATACAATCTCACTACATTTTTATGTTTCAATTCTTTCAACAGACAAATCTCTCTGAGTGCAGACGACGGTACACCCTGCACAAGAGGAAAATCATAACAAAGAAATGTCATTTATGCTAATGTTATAAACGTCAGCGCCAAAAACTTACTTCGTCGTCTTCGTCCAAACGAACTCTTTTTAAAGCAACGATTTCGTGAGTTTCGCGATTCTTGGCTTTGAAAACAGTTCCATAGGTACCTAAAACAAAAGAAAGAAAAGTATCGTTCGGTAAGAGGCAAATCACAACAAAGAATAGGTCGTTTATCAGTTGTCAAAAGACAATTCGGCACACAGCATGGATTCCATTGGACAAGCGAGCATATAAAAAGCCGACATGATAATGATTGATCAAAATAGAATAGACACTTACCTTCTCCTATTTTCTCGAGTTTCTCATACTTTTGCATATTTTTGGCAATTCTTCGGGCGGAATAATAACAGAGTGGTTAGCGCTGCACTCGACAGTCGTGTGCGAACACACACCGCTCAACATATGGCGCCACGAGCGTTTACAAATACGATATTTCGCCACCAGAGTTTATTCGAAGTTTTCAACGACCGCCGCTTTTAAATAATACGAACAATACAGATACAATTTTTGAATAACTTATAGCTTCTATGGTATAACCTCGGCGAATCTTCTTGATCCTTCGAATCAGCGAATTATTCTAATGCCGATAACTCAAGTTTAACGATATGCCGTGAATTTCGATTAAACCATAACTCTTAACCTTGAAAAAATTTTATTTATCACCTTGCAAATGTCCTACATCGACGGTGTAGTAAATGAATAATAAACAGATAAATGCATGACCACGAATATATGGTATCTACTCGATTAATAATAACCAATCCAGACGTTTAGGTTCGTCATAAAAGATCATTCTTTGCAACACGAATCGTGCGCATATCTATTAACATAACGCATGTATATAGAACATACATCGTTATATCTCATAGCATGAGCTCTTGTCACGGATCAATGTAATTTCAATATACGCAACAACTACATATATAAGTATATATAAGTCAGAGGGAACCGCGTATAGCTGTATTTTATAAATATCGTTAAACATACGTGTACGTGATACATGATATCGTATGTGAGAAGCCGTACATTCATACATATCATACGCTATATACGGTGCTACAAAACGTATGACGTAAAAATTATTTTTGGGAAACGATATCAAGCTAAGAGCTACGCACAAAGTTTAAGATGTTTCCTATCTTTTGTAAATTTTCGATGTTTCAGTTAAACATTTGACGATTTTTGAGGCTGCGAGAGGTAAGTGGACGAAATTCGTGGCAATGACGTCATTCAAATACATTTATAGTTCATAAAAATGTATAAATAATCCAATTTGTTATTAATAATAAATTCATAATAATAAGTTCATAGCGTAAATTTATAATACAAGAAAAGAATTAATTCATTGGTTATTACTTGAACAGTATGATACTAATGTTTAAATGTACCTATAATTTGCAAAAGTGTATAAGTTATTACACTTATTTCTAATAACAAATTGGTCACAACGTAAATTTATAATACAAGTGGAAAAATTACTAAATTATAGGTTATTACCAGTATATATAACGTGTTTGCGTGAAAATGTATCCATAATTAGCAAACAGTTAATAAATTGCTACATTTATTGTTAATAACAAATATTTTGCAACGTATATTAACGATAAAAGTCAAGAAAATTAATAAATTATTAGTTATTACAGCGGAAAAGTAACTTTTAAAGGAATCGGAGAAGTTCAGAAATTTTCGCCGATCTTCGGTCGGCCGCCGCTATATAAGGGGCCCGCGTGCAGGCTCGAGCCAGTTGTCGTTTCGACTTCGGAGGGTCCGCGTTAATATTTTTCTTTCAGGTACTAATTATTTTTTGTTTCAGCTTTTAATTATCTTTCTTCTTTCAGATTCTATTTCTTTTATTCTAGATTTCATTGTTTGTGCATTCGAATATTTTGTACAATATTCGAATGCTTCGTCGTTGGTTTATTTGTATTGTATATCATCGTTGGCTAGATCAATGGCTATTCAATGGCCATTGTCTACTCTCTTGAATAATTTAATAATAATTCCTTCTTTCAGGTACTAATTATTTTTTCTTTCAGGTTTTAATTATCTTTCTTCTTTCAGATATTATTTCTTTCATTCTAGTTTTCATTGTTTGTGCATTCGAGTATTTCGTACAATATTCGAATGCTTCGTCGTTGGTTTATTTGTATTGTATATCATCGTTGGCTAGATCAATGGCTATTCAGTGGCCATTGTCCACTCTCTTAAATAATTTAACAATAATTTCTTCTTGCAGATTTTATTTTTTTCATTCTATGTGTCTTTGTTTCAGCATTCGAGTATTTCGTATAATATTCGAATGCTTCGTCGTTGGTTTACTTATGTCTCATCGTTGGCTAAATCTTTCCTTTCACAAATTTTACGACTTCCGTTCGATTTGTTTTCGTTAGAGCGTTCGAGTATTTCGTATAATACTCGAGCGCTTCCTCGTTGGTATGTTTATATCTCACCGTTGGAATGTTTCTGTCTCGTAGTTATGTTGCTCAGGTCTCGTCGTTGGCTTGCTCGTTCCATTTGGTTATTATCCTTGATGGTTTCCTCGTACTAATCCCTTTCCTTTCAGCTACATATTAACAATAATATATTCTGTTTTAGCTTTTAGGTTTCTCAAGATTCTGTTTGCGACACATCAATGAACGATGCGTGCGTTTACTTTTAAGTAATCATAAGATAGATCCATAGACTAAGTATCATGTGCGCGCTATCTGTACAAAGGTAAGCTACCTAACTTGGAGCGAAATTTATAAATTCTCTATCATTTTCTTATCCCCCTCGTTTAGCAAATAGAACATAATTGTTCTCGCGATAATCGCGATCGTTCGTAAGTACCGACTAGCCTACGCGACGTGCTCTCGTGTACTCGATAAGTACATGCTTCGTAAGTCATCCTCACGACTCGTCTCCGACACTCATTTCCAGTCACTGTCAATCTCGTCATGCATCGGGTTCCAGGGTGACCCCCTCGGATCAGTGCGTCTTCTGACCTCGACCGGGCGGTCCGCTGCCTAAGTCGTACGCGACTGGGGCTCGGGCACATGCTGGCTGACGGACTAGTACCATCTACGGTTAGACCACAGGGATGATTAAGTTCTACCCCGTGTGGCTGGGATGCGAAGTGTCTGTCTTGGCCGGCAACCGCCCAGCAGGGCCCTCGCGTTGACACTAGAAGTTTCATTGGTTCAGGGACTATCCTTGGTCCACGTGTAAGTCTTGGCGAGTGCGACAGTGACTGGAATTGAGCTAGGCCCGATCGGGAGGGTGCCGAGGTATGAAGTTATCTCTGTACACGGAAGTACATCGCCTAGGCTAGTCGGTCTTTCGAATAATCGCGATCTCGTTCGGGCGCGTCGCGATTTTCTATTTGCTCGCGTGTTTGATATTTCATTCCCTATTTTTATGGTAACTTGAAAATATCTTAGCGTTGCGGCAGTAGAGTTTCAGTATACCGAATCGAAGTTCCCTATGTAAGACACAAAGTGTCAGTAGAGTCACTTTAACTTAATTCGCTCCAAGTTAGATTAGGGTACCTTTGATACAGGTAGCACCAGCAGGCTGCGCCACTAGGGCGCATGTCGGGTCTCGATGCGTAGCCACCTCCACGTGGTGAGACCTGGTAATTGGTATCGTTTTCCAAAGAATAATTTTTGCAAACGATACCAAGCTAAGAGCTTCGCACAAAGTATAAGATATTTCCTATCTCTTGTAAATTTTCAGTGTTTCTTTTGAACTTTGAATATAAAGCGTGGAGAATATGTGTTCAAGTAATATGTAAGTAAAGCAGAATTAAGGTAAGTGAGGTAAGTGTAATTGCAAAATAGTCAGAAAATTTTCTGCTGAAACTGCAAAAGTCCACAAAAATTCTTGGAACTGTCATCATTTGTTGCAGTTCTGTGCAGATACCAATAGCTTGTCATTAACTACTATCTTTTATGTCATTAATTTATAAAATATGTATACACATTTTAAGGACAATACCCATGAGAATATTCCATGTATTTTATGTTCATATTTTACTTCTAGTTTTGTTTAGAATTGAATACTTTAATGAAAAATCGTCCCGTTCGTTGTGGCCAGATCACATCCGTCTTCAAATAATTAATCGTAAGAAACTAATTACCACCAAATTATGTATGCAACTTGTGTAAGAATGTTGTCTATAATATCAGCTTTGCAATGCGGTTATAAAATTTAATAAATTAGTGGCAGAAATTGGGTAACTTGTTAATATTTTTTACTGCCGAATGAAAAATCAAGCGACAACGGTCAGCGTCATTTTGAACCAGAAGCTCAGGAGAGTAACAGGAACACAAAATACGTAAGGATGTTATCTAAACCTCGTTAGACAAGGAAATAACGCGGTTAGAAGAAGACGAATGCTTCGGCAGTAAAAAATTAACAAATTACACAATTTTTGCTATTAATATATAAACTCTGATAGCTGCATCGCAAATCTGGATCTATACGCAACATTCTAATGCAATTTTTATACATCATTTGTTGCTAATTCATTTGTTATTCTTAATTACTTTCCGGCGTACAGTATTTGACAAGGGCAATCGGCACGTATGTCTGTTAAAATAATTAATTGTGAACAAAACTGAAAGTAAAATACGAACAAAAATAATATAAAAATATTCCCAAAGACATTGCTTTTATGACGTCTGCATGTAATTCATAAATTAATTGCATAGGAAACAGTAATTAATGAAAAACCACTAGTATCTTCGACATCAGTTCGAACGTTTCTGCTGCTTGGGCGAGAAGCATTTGGCCAATTTGGCGATTTTGTATCAGGAGAACATAATATGAAAGTAGGTCGTTCGCCGAGACAGTTCCAAGAAATGACGCCATTTCCAAGAATTCTCGGTCAATGCCTTTGCCGCCTCGAGGAAACATTTGTGGCCAATTTGGCGATTTTGTATCAGGAGAACATAATATGACAGGAGGTCGCTCGTCGAGTCACTTCCGAGAAATGATGTCCTTTCCAAGAATTCTCGGTCAATACTTTTGCAGCATACATGGACAATACTTTTGCCGCTTTTGGTCAATACTTTTACCGCTTCGATGGTCAATACTTATGCCGTTTTGGTCAATACTTTTGCTGTCTCGGTGGACAATACTTTTGCCGTTTTTGGTCAATACTTTTGCCGCTTTTGGTCAATACTTTTGCTGTCTCGGTGGACAATACTTTTGCTGGTTTTGGTCAATACTTTTGCCGTTTTTTGTCAATACTTTGGCCGCCTATGTGGACAATATTTTTGCGGCCTCGAAGAAAAATTTTTGGCCGATTTGGCAACTTTGTATCAGGAGAACATAATATGACAGGAGGTAGCTCGTTGAGACAGTTCCAAGAAATGACGTCATTTCCAAGAATTCTC